GTAAACAAAGGTGTGTTTTTCTCACAAAAATGGTTAAATAAGAGGGAATTCTTTTAAAGATATCCTTTTTTGAATAAAAGAATTTAGTTGAGCAGTAGTGCTGCACTTCGGAAATGTACAAGTTCTTGTGAGAAACGTTTTTTAGTTTAATTTAGCTTACTGTCGATTTAACCTGGAGATTTACCTGATTAGCATTTGATTTAAATTTTAAATTGATAATTGAGGTGGTTTTTCCAGCATTACCCGGTGGAATTTTAACTAGTCAATGTTAAAAGTTGAAAAAGCCGTGGAAGGGTCTATTTGTCACATCAATAATAGTTTATCCATATAAAAGCTTACTTTCTAAACCTTTTATTTTAAAATGCTTCATAATTGCTCATTCTTTTCCATGGCCCGGGTATTCAAAATGTTTGAGCATTCAGTGCTGTGGACAAATGATGACAAGAAGCATACCTTCCACCAGAGTGCTCAAAAAGTTTGAGCATTGCCGTGGGCAAATGATAACAAGAAACATACCTTCCACCAGAATTTTTTTCAATTTTTTTCAAATTTTTTTCTTTCTCACACATGAAATCGGATGAAAACTGGTAGATAGAATCCCAAAATGGGGGGCAAGGGCACTAGGACACCGAATGTGGTTGGATTTCTATAGGTTTGTTTTCCCCTTTCGATTATTTGAATTAAACTAACGTTATACTTGTTTACTTATCTTGTGTCCGTGTTCCTTCGTTCGCTGTTGTAATGCAGACGTTTTCATTCCAAAGGTCAAACGGTTTGAATAGCCTATAAGCGTTACTTCTTTAACGGCCGTTCCGTACTTGACTCTGTTTGTACTATACCAACAACAACGCGACCGCGCGATGCTCCTTACGTCAGTAATATTCAACCGTACAGAGCTAATATGGTTAATCAAATCCACCTTAAGTTCCATATAGAGCCCAGGGGTAGGCTACTAGCCTGCTTGCCATTGTTCTCTCGTCTGCTCGCTTAATCCAATTATTTTGAAAGGTGGGGTGGCAGTGTGTTTACACANGGGGTAGGCTACTAGCCTGCTTGCCATTGTTCTCTCGTCTGCTCGCTTAATCCAATTATTTTGAAAGGTGGGGTGGCAGTGTGTTTACACAGCGATGAYAGATGCAGCACCAACGCTACTGTACGAACCACTGCCGAGCCTAGACTGGGGTAACACGATCTCCCTCGGCCCACACTCGGACCCGAACGCTAGTAATTCGAACCCTAAGACGTGACTACCAGATTACGGCCTCTATAACTTAACGCACTACAGGATACTAGAGATTTAAGTAGCATAGATCAACGACAGCACGCTATTACCACACACTTTTTACTCAAAGAAACTTCCCCCTTTTGYATCATCAACTACAATAAAGGAATTTCTTACGATATTTCGTCTAATCTTTATTTGTTTACTTACTTGTACATGTCCAGTCAACGTGAGCGTCACCTACAATGACCTACTGGTCGATATTAATATTTTTGAACTGTAACTGTCTGATCGTTGAGGTATAGAAAAGTTACATTTCATTTCGTAAACAGTACCCTGGGTTTAAGATATGCTTCCCTCTAATTGGACTCTAATATTCTAAGGAGAGTTAGTAACTTTCTTTG